TGAGCTAACAAGAAAACCAGCTGGTTCATTTAACTTCCTAGCTTGCACGTTATTTTCACAAAATGTAATAAATCTTCTTTTAGTCGTGATCTTCCCCTACAAGATTGTAATATCAATCCAGTTTGCATTGATAAAATCATACTAATAAAGATTAATCTTCTAAGAAGTGGAAAAACAGGAAAAATGCCTAAAAAACTGCCAAGAGAGTTAAGGAGTGTCTGGAATACACTGAGTCATCAATTCATTTGTTCAAAACTGGAAATTCTGTCAGTAGTTTATTCTTATTATATACATACTGAGAAATACTCACCAAAAAGCTGTGTCGTAAATTTTCGTACGCAAATTAGTTCTAGCCAGTCAGAGGAGCGAACGATGGTTTTCACACGTGAAAAAAATGATACGTCCAATCAGAATCGCGAACGATGTTTTTTCACGTGTGAGAAAAATGATACGTCCAATCAGAAGCCACAGAGGTGTGTGAGTTTCGCGCCAAAATTCCTGCCTTTTATTGCAGCTTGCAGCGCCGCTTCGCACATATTCGGGCGGCGATAAAACCAGGAACATGGAACATCTCGGAACATTCCGGAACATTCCGGAACATCCCGGAACATCCCGGAACATGAAAAAAAATAATTTTCATGAAAAAAAAAATGTAATAAAATAATAATAATAAAATAATTTTTGCTAAAATTAATAAGAACGTAAAATAACCAAAAAAAAAAAACGGAAAATAATGAAATAATCAAGAAAAAGAAACTGGTATCCTCTCTGAGTATGAGAAAACAATATTTTGTCGCAACAAATTAAATTTGTTGGGCGAGTGAGGGTTCATGCAAATTACAGTAATGAGTGAAGGCTTGCTTCTAAATTCAAAATATATTAAAGTGGGTCGCGAGGAGGAGGTTTTCAAGCTTTCCTCAGACAACCACCTCTTGTAATTGTTTGCCATGAGTTAATCATTTGGCGGTTATCCATTTACGGTTCTGCGATGGTCTGAAATGTTGGTGCAGTATTTCATGTCAAGCCAAGTCGGTAAGTAACTCATGTCAAGCCAACATATAGTCTGTTTATATATAACCGACATTTGCTTACTTGAGGTGCTGTGCTTCACTTGGGGTTGACATGAATTACTTACAGACTAGGCGGCTCTGTAAACTTAAGAAGAGTATAGGGGCTCCTGTCTTTGGATTTTAGTGGACAATACTCACATTCGTAGTAGTTTCTATACTGTTTACAGTCAGCATGATATTTCAGACGTCTCCTTGAGTCGCAAGAGGAGTTTGCGGGTAGACGACTAAAATTCAGGCTAACTGATAACAGTTAGAAACTACCGCTGCGCTACCACTGCCACTGCAGCTATTCTGGGGCGAATTTGAATGTTTAATTTAATTATCCAAGTCCAAAGGGACGAGCCCCTAAGCTCTTCTTACGGTCGCAAAGCCGTAAATTGATAACCGTTAAACCGTATGGCAAACATTTACAAGATGTGGCTGTGTGAGGAAAGCTTGAAAACCACATCCTCGCGACCCATTTTAATATATTTTGAATTTAGAAGCAAGCGTTCACTCATTACTGTCATTTGAATGGACCCTCACTCGCCCAAAAAATTCATTGCGACAAAATATTGTTTTCTCATACTCGGAGATAATACCAGTTTCTTTTTCTTTATTTCTTTCTTTGTTTCTTTATTTTTCGTTTTTATGTTATGTTATGTTATGTTATTTATTTTGTTATTATAAATTTTTGCAAAAATTGTTTTCTATCTATTGTTCTTTTTATTATTATTATTATTTATTATTATTATTATTTTATCAATATTTTTATTTAATTAATTAATTAATTTTTCATAAAAAAATGTTTTAATTTTTTCATGTTCCGGGATGTTCCGGAATGTTCCGGGATGTTCCATGTTCCTGGTTTTATCGACGCCCCACACATTCAACAAGAAAAGTTTTACTCAAAGAGTTTTTCTTGCTAAAAAAGTGAAAAGCATTTCGGAAATGGAGTGGAATAGTTTCGTTTCGTTTGTTTCACAGTCGATAAAGAAAACGGTAGAGAGCCGGCGAAACAACAGCGGAAAGGGATAAACAGAACGAGACGTAAGCTTTTGTTGTGCTTTTTGTCTGAGCTACTTTGCCTTAAGCTTATATTGAAACCGGCCATTTTACTTAAATTCACTCATTTTCAATTGTGCATTGAGAACGAACAGTTACGATTACTTGTAGTTCTTGGATTACCTCATATCCTGACCGTCATTTATGTTTTTAACAAACGTTTTTACTAAAAAGCTGATACTTCGTTTTCGTTGTGATTTTGCGGTAAGTGTGTAGCAGCAAATTTTAGCATTTTTGAAAGATTTAAAATAAAAAGGCCGCCAAAATGATGAATGTCTCAGTATGTATATAATAAACACAATACCACATGGAAAGTTCTTTGTACGGTATTTACGCACGAGTTGTTTTTGTATCAGAAATCTTACTCGTTCGCTGCGGTCACTCGTTCGATTTCTGATACGTCAACAACTCGTGCGTAAATACCGTACGCCAGCACTTTCCATGAAGTATTCTCTATTTTATACACAACACCGAAAAAATAATCACTCCTCTTGATTCAGCGACATATCAGGCGATTTCAAAAGTTGATGGGACTTTTCTATCCTAAAGTTTTCGTCCCTTAATTCAAATCTTATGAAAACTTTATTTAAGCCAATGTGTTTAAAACACACTTAATTCACGAGAAAGTGAATAGGTCAGATGCTCACCAAACGCTGAGACTAGAGAGAGTGGTTTTGTTATCGGCCAATCATGTTTGAAATAAAGAGTTTAAGCTCCATTTTGTGTCTGAGTTTCGTTTATATTCGATGTTTTAGTCAGTATAGCGAACTAGAAAAAATAATTCTCATAGCAAAGCGATTGCAAGACTAAAGTCCGTCAACCAATTGAAACTGACAGTAAACGTTCCGATGAACACGAAAACACCCCTTCCTCTCCTCCAAGCCAACAAACAAACAACGATTGATTGATTTTGTTTCCTCGAACTATGCTAAACTAGCTAGAAAACATTCGTTTCGGAAACAAAAAGTTATGGTTTAAGGTAAACATTTTACCTTCAAATATTTCAATAACTTCCTCTCTTGAATTAAGGCGCCGCGGTTTGGTATTGATCCAGTATTTAGAATCCTCAGGCCTTATGCTAAGACGGTCTGTTATTGGTTGTTCCTGAAAATTTCCTATAGAATAATTAAAAAGAATGAGGAAACACGGAGACGAAGAAGATGGATTGACATGGGTGACCCTCTCCTCAATCAGAATCACTTTAAAAAGTAATTCATGCTAATTCCAGCTGGAATGTTTGGCTTTGTATTTTTGCATTGCCTATTTATAAATGCTTGAAGTGAAATGACTCACGTTAAATTTTTTTTGTACTAATTTGTCTAAAATCCCGAAAAGTGCAACTTCGTTTTTCCTTTCCACATTGCTCTACTTACCTTACATAGCAGTAGTTTCAGTGACAGTAACATATTTCGATGGCAACTTCATCACACCGGCTGAATTCTCTATTTTTTATTTGATACGAAAATTCAGCGCTTCATAGTGCGTGCTTTTATTGCGGGCTTTTAATTGAGCGGAAGAAAGTTTATTTTTTCTATTTACAAACACTTCAGATAGTCTTGTGATAATGGCCTAGGTGTAATAAAAGTCCTTTTAGGGAGCCATAGCTATTAACGATGCTAAAATTTAAGCAGCCTTCTGATAATTTAGGTTTAAGTCAACTCTAACCCTTGTCATCAGTACCTGCAAATTGTGACAATTCTCTTTTCTGCGATCACGAACATGTGTATAATTCTTATACTAGCGGCTTACGAGAGCGATCTCTCTCAGTGACTCACTTCAAAATTTGCCAACAAGTTTTCTCTTCACTATGAAGAATCGAACTCTGGGCGAAATTACGCAAATTAACAAATGCAGCTGGAATATTTCGTGATCGGTAGAAGAAGCCGATGGCGTGCGCATGCTTTGTTTTGTAAAGATGTAGTTAAAAAGTCAAAACAAACAAAATAGTCGACGCAGTAACCATCATTTTTAAAACTTAAAAAGGAAATGAAAAAAAGGTGGAGCCCAAAATTACCTTCACCATAGTCGTCTTCCTTCGCTAGCTTAGCGTGATCGTGCACAGCGCCCCAACAACAACGGATAACGTAAAAAAAGTATTTGCAAAAATTAATTCATCGGGCCATCGTCTTTTTTTAAAATTCTTATTATCTTGGTGGAGCTAAAAAAATATCAAAAGCTCATTACACAAAACTTAGTTAAGTAAAAAAAAAAACTGAGTGAAAACATACCTCAAGAAAACAGATTTGGTAATCCTAAGCACACAATTCTGATAGCAAGCGGAAAAGTTGGTATAAAAACCGATCAACTGTACACATCTGTTGTTTTTGATGACTGACTTCAAAAGAAGTAAGCCGGCACGGAAAACTCAATAACAGCTCGCAATATAATTCGTCCCCTGGGTAACCTGCCCTCTTGTTTAAGAGTTCCTTACCAGACCATTTGATTCTGTAATCCTGAAGAAGGCTGGTAAGGCCAGGCGACATATATATATTGTTTAAAAAATCAATAAATAACAATTATTCACCGAAGTGGAGGTGGCTAGTATTGGATATTTACCTCGCCGCTTTCGCGGCATCGGTAAATATCCAATACTAGCCACCGACACTGAGGTGAATAATTGTTTTAGTATATGCTAAAACTGAGATAATAAGCCTAAAATGATCTCAAATGACGATTTTTAATTCGTTTATTTACAACTTTGGCGCGCAAATTAAACAAACATGCGCGCAGCTCAAAATAGTCACATGACACATCTGATGATGAAATGTTCATAATTTTGTGTTTAAGACTTTACAACCGTAAATGAAAGATCAAGCTATGCGAAAGGAAAAGTCCTGGCTTTACGCTTTCTTTGTAGATTGTTCTTTTCGTTGTCTGTTACAAGTTTTATTTGCTGCTGCTTCCTCCAAAGCTCACCTTAAAGTTGAGATTACAGTTATGGAACGTGGCTCCGGGAATGAAGCCATGGACAAGATTTTGTGATCCATCTTGAATGGACTGGAAGGAATAATTTGCAGTGCTCGTAGCTACTGATTGCGGCTGGCTCCATGACGACGCAACGGTTTACTGAGGGACTGTAACAGCCTTGTCATCGTCACCAGCTGGATCGAAGAATTCACTTAGCTCGTTTGACATTCTTTTAAACTGCTCGAATGTCGGCGTATCACAATAGCTCTTGATGCTTTCTTCACTTTGGTGGCCGGTTATTGCCCTGATGTACCGACTCTCGACGTTTGCAGCTGACAAAACCGTCACGGTGGTCGCTCTGATCGAGTGGTTTGTTAGATGTGGCTTTATTCCAGCTCTTGATGTCATTCTTCGTAGCATATTTTCAAGCGTGTTGTGGCCAAGTGGACTCGAGCAGTACCACACAAGATCCGTTGCTGGGTTAAACGCTTTGCACGAGCTTCTTGGTTTCTGGAATAAACTGCTGCATTTGGGACTCAGATGTGACAGGTATTTCTCGATGAGTTTCACTGGGCAGCGTTTTGAGCCTGGTCTTTCAAATATTTTTCCGTTTGACTCATCTTCTTTATCATCTAGGCCACCTTGATGGTTTTTAGTCGCCAACACTGCTCCGCGCTCTTTGTTTATTTCCAGATATTTTTCACCATTTGGCGCTTCCCTTGAGATAAGCATGTGTTTCTTAAGCAGGTGCTGGTTTTCTCGACCTCTCTTTCCGAGGAATAAACTGATGAAGAACCAGGCCGTCTGCTGTACTTTGTGTGGTTGGAGAGAATCGATGTCAACAAGCTCGCCTTCTTCGTAAAGTTTCTCAACAATTTCCTTTGTTAGGGTTTGTTTGTGCACTGTCGGAGCTATTTAATTTGGCCACTTTTGCTCAGAGTTTTCAGAAAATTGCTGAGGGATTTATTGGCTTCATTAAAATGACTGTCGCCAACAATGGAAAATGGCTTTGAAAACGGAGGACTTTTTAAGTGACGATCTAACGCGGCTCGGATTGCGATAAGCGACTTTTTGTTGTAGTAACTGCCGTCACGTTTTCGTGCGGACAAGTAAAATTTTTGGAGGCATTTGTTAAGCTGAATTGGTGACATCTCCTCAAAGGGAGTTTTGAACTCTTCTTGCATCTGAAACCATTCTGTAAAAAAAAGTAAGCTTATTTATAAACATGTCAGCTAACATTAAGTAACGAAAGACATAATTTGCATTTGTAAACAAAAAACTTTTTCACCGGTTTCATCGATAAAATTCAGGTTAAACAGACAAAGCTTTACCTGTGAAAACTGCTAGACCGAATTTAGTCGCTTTTTTAGTGTTGTCTGGTATGGCCTCTTCATTTATTTTCGAAATTTCGTCGCTAGTTACCGTGGCAAACCGAGACTGAGCCATTTTTGTCATACATGTAACTTGCAAGAGTTTGGCGCCGCTCGGCTGGAGGCGAATCAGTGAATAGTGCAGGATATTCCGAGATTGAGCAGCCAATCAGAGCGTGCGAAAAACACTATCCACTGTTTTAGCATATACTAAACGTTGTTATCAGCTTTTGCTGTAGTCTTTGGACTTCTCTTTTTTTTGTTTGCTCCAAATATTTCAGCTGATTAGATCTCTTTTGCTGAGATCCAAATTTGACTACCAGCAGGATCTTCGTCCACGTTTTTTATTTATTAATTTATTTTTTTTTCTGCAGTTTATACGTTCTCTAGGATTTTAGGGATCAACTACATGTCGGGTTTTATCCCCTTTAACACATTGTATGAAATTAATTGAAGTTACTGGTCACGGGAAAATCATCATATAACTGAAGAAAACAGGCTTTCAAAATAAAAGTCCTCTCAGTTTAGTGCCACAATACAGCTGACACTATAATTTCCTCCACAATAAATTTTTACGTTATGACTACTTTGTTAGTCTACTTTGCATTGAATAGTCGATAATTATTTTATATGTGAAGGTAATAAACTATTCAAGTAGAGTTGCCCCGTTTTCGCTAATTACAACTCCGAGTGTTTTTAATTGAACATGCACACATTTTAATTCGTCAAGAGCACCTGGGTCCTCCATATATATTTTAATCTAGAGCGCTGGGATCCACCAAAAAACGACGGCCTTCAGTTTTTTTTTTCCGTTTGAGACCTAGGGGCTTTTTATACGATACAGGATCGACTTTCATTCCGGAATGAGTTTCGTTCCAGAGTTGCGTTCGTACTGCATCCACTTGATAAAATCGAACGGCTCAGGCTAAGGCGCATCTGGCTCACCTGGCTTTCGCGCCTGACCAGATACGCATGCGCCACTCGACCCAGACTACAAGAGTTGCGATTTTCAATCCCGAACAAAGTTCGTTTTCAGAAGTTCTCACCCGACTATAGCAAAAGTTGGTTTAAAGACTAAACTGGCAAACCTCGTAGTTAATTTGGGCAGT